TTTCATGATAAAAATATCATGCGAAAATTTTTTGAACCATCTCAAAAAGTGCTATTATATAATGCAAAACTTCGTTTATTTCTTGAAAAACTAAAATCAAGATGGACAGGTCCTTACATTGTCAAACAAGTTTTTAATTATGGAGCAATTGAAATTGAAAATTCATTAACTGGAAATATCTTTAGAGTCAATGATCAAAGACTTAAAACATATTATGATGGATTTACTCAAGAAATAACTGATGTACAACTTTCTGATCCTGTTTATATGCTCTGAAAAATAAATTATTGATTAAATCTCTATAAAATTACTAATGAAGTGTAATTTATTTGACAAAATAACTTCTGAGTACAGCCAGATATCCCAATCGATGAAATGACAAAAGACTGTTGGGTTTCCTTATCAATATTAACTATAATTGTTGTTACATTTCAGATAATGTTTAAATTAAGTTGGGGAGGTAAGGATGAGATTTTAGTATTTATTTTTAAAGTATTTATTTTATTTTAATATTACTGTTAATTTTGTCTTTATGACTGGCAGACGTTAAAGAACCGGATAGAGAGTCGTCAAAAAAAAATGGACGAACAATTATTTTGGTTAAGTTTAATTTTACTTCGTCATCTTCCGAAACATATCCATGCATTGATCTTGAAAAAAGTTAGAAGAGTCAGAAATTTAAAAATTTTTTAAAGTCAATCAAGACCTTTATGCGAAAAAAGTACATATGCGAAAAACCTACGTGCTGATTGTCTCGGTGGTTGTGTAAGATGTGGTCGTTTACAACATTTAAGACAATATAATCAGTGTGCGGAACTAATTTCAGGTCGAGCGTTAGATCGTCTCCGGTGAATTAAGTATGGGCAGAGCAAGGATTATCCTAAAACGTCATCCTATTCTACCCCAATGTTAACAAGATACGTAAGAAATAAAGTTAACCGTGTCACTGAAAATATTGATCCAGATAGTTCTGATTCTGAATCAGTATGATCATAATTCCTTGGAATAATTGTACATACTTGTAAATGTTTATAAATATTTATAAATAAATAAATATATATATATATATATATATATATATATATATATATATATATATATA